AAACATTTCGTCCATGGAAGTACTGCCACCTTACCTATACCTGTCAGAAAATGTGAGTCTGCATTCCGGTTTTAAAAATTAAGACTGCTGGTGAAACTTTTTTCTTTTTATAAAATATAAGTGCGCATTTCACCTCCATCTCACCTGATGGAAAGTGACGATGAGGTCGACGATGGAGCACGCACACCTAAATAATACCTATGAGTGAATCGCTTTGAAAAGACCCAATTTAAAACGTATAAAATTATAAAATTCTTCATTAAAATTCTAAAATTACAAAACATATAAAATTCAGGGAACAAGTCTGCAGACAGGGAATTCTACTCCATAGCCGTTCGCCATATAAATGTGGAAGCGTAACGCTTCTTGCGAATCTTTGGAATATCCGCAATATAGGGGTAGAACCCAATCCTACGCCTAGTCCCCCGGTGATGGAAAGGGAAAGGCGGAATTAAATCATGTAATTCCATCGCACACTCTCCGTGATATATCCTGTAAAATACCGATACCGGCTCGGCAGCTTCGCCTCCACTAATTCCGAGTCAGCTATAAGCCTCTTGACACGGTTGTCAATAGAATCCAAAGTGGCCAGTTGATATGTTGCTTCATATCAACTGGCCCATCCCTAAGGCGGCAGCAGTACTCCATACACGATCTGACTTGTGCTTGGTACAGCTGAAGCAACTGTCCCGGTATAAAGTAACACCTCACCCTGGAAAGGATCCCAAGCTTCCTTGCTGCATTTTTGACCATGGATTCAATGTATCTGCCGAAGTTCAAATTGGACGACAGGTCCATTCCAAGTAGCTGGAGACAGTCTGTTATCGGTATGAATATATTACGAAAAGTTGGAGTCAGCGCAAAGGGACTCCGTCTTGTAGAGAATAGACACACCTGCGTTTTGGTAGCGTTAACTTTGACAAGATTGGCATTGCCCTAATCAGAGACTGCCTAGAGAGTCAAATCTAAATGGTTAAACATGGACTCTCGACAAGACTGGATTTCAACTCCACTGACCCTTGCATTGGTCAAGTACCTATCTACAACTGTGCTGTCATCAGCATACGCAAAGGTACCTGGAATTAACATATCATTAATAAGTAGCAGAAAGAGTGTTGCAGGTAGTACGGAACCCTGAGGAACTCCGGCCATCTATCGCCATATGTTCGGAAGAGTAGCCTTCTAAGACCACTCGAATCGAATGTTCGCTTAAGAAATCCGACATCCAATTGCAAAGGTTAGTGAGAATCCCACAAGAGGGAAGGTTACTTAAAAGGCTTGCATGCTAGACCCTGTCAAAGGCTTTACAAATGTCCAAAGACACTGCAAATGCTTCGCCTTGCTTTTCTAGAGCCTTGCTCCATATGTGACAGGATTCCCAGTAGATCGCCCTCGTCGGAATCCGTACTGGTGATCACTGAGGAGGTCGTTGTCTTCAAGGTACGATAGGCGACGGTTGTTGAGTACACGTTCCATAGTCTTGCAGAGTATGGAAGTGACTGAGATAGGTCTATAGTTGACAGGGTCAGCTCTACTTCCCTTTTTTGGCACAGGTTGCACGTTTGCAAGCTTCCACGACCTGGGAACTACACCAGTCTCAAGTGAGAGGCGTGTGAGAACAGGAGACAACTCAGGCGCACAGTTACGCAGGACTATTGCTGGAATTCCATTAGGCCCGCTAATTTTGTTCACGTCTAGATTTCGCAGAGTTCTATCTCTATCTCTATATAGTATCTCTTTTTGGCGTATGCGAACTGGCGCCATAATGCAGCTAGCCTGAGGTAAAGTAGTAGGTAGGTTCCCTGCGACATCCAGACGCGAACTCTCTGCAAAGAGTGAGGGTAAAGAGATTCGCCTTCTCTTCCGCAGTATGAGCCAGCGAGCCATGCGGCCTCAGTAGAGGTGGCAAAGATGAGCGACAAAAGTTAAATTCGACCGCTTTGGCCAGGGACCAAAAGGCTATGCGGCACGCATGGTCGAAATCGGCTCTACTTAACACGCTTTTGCACTTCTTTTTTTTTATTTAAGGAAACAAACAGTCATCAACAGACAGATAATAAATCAAAATTGATACACATATGGACCTAGAGTTCTATTAACAAAAAATAAAACAAGAAAATGAGTGAAACAACATACTTTAAACTCCTTGCACGAAGTGTCATAATTAACGTACTCTGCACCAGTCCGATAACAAAGGCTCTTGATAAACCTTGTCCGCACTTTTTCTAAAGCATCAACATGTACTTTATAACGAGGGTTCCAAACTATACTTCCAAATTCTAAAATACTTCTCACAAACGACGAATAGTAAGTAAGTAATAAGAGCGTTACAGAAATGCTGAGAGACACGTAAAATAAAACCCAACAGTTTAAAGGATTTTGAAATAACATTTTCGATATGAGAATTAAAATTTAATTTAGTGTCAAGGATAATACCAAGATCTCTAATCTGATTAACGCGTTTGATTATGGTGCCATTAAAAGTATAATTAAATAGAAAGGATTGCTTTTTTTTGTAAAGGTACTGATATGACATTTGGAAGGCTTGAGGTGTAGTTCGTTGTTAGCACAGTATGTCGAAAATTCACCAAGATCTCTTTGCGAATCAAGAGAATCAATGTTTCCAGTAATCATTTTAAAGATTTTGGTATCGTCGGCGTAGACTAAGTGATGATAATTAACAAAAATGCTATTGTAATCATTAATGTAAAATGTGAAAAGCAACGGATCAAGATGGGAACCTTGCGGGACGCCAGATGGAATATCATAAAAATCTGAAATTTTAATTAATTAATTTTCGCCTTTAAGGGATACCGTCTGAATACGTTTTTCTGTGTAGGAATTTAGCCATCGTAGAAGACCTCCGTGTATACCTCGCTTCAAGAGTTTATGTAGGAGTATATTGTGATTTATTTTATCAAAGGCCTTAGAGAAGTCGGTATACACGGCATCGCCAAGATTACCGGTTGTCTCAACACCACGGCCACGAAAAAAGCCATGTTGCTGTGGGGAGACATGACGCAAGAAAACAGTGGATAAATAAAGAGTTACAATTTTTCTAAAATCTTACCGAATACACAGAGCTTTGATATAGGTCTGTAATTCCTAACATCATGTTTCGAGCCAGACTTATATATAATTTATATATATATATATATATAATATATTTATATACAATTGGGTAACCAAGGCTTGTTTCCATAAATTAAGAAAACACCATTCGGACAATGAATTATTGTAAATGATAGTCAAAGGAGCAGCCAATTCATCAGCACACTTAGAAATTAAAATGGGATAAATATTATCCATTCCTGGCACCTTTGTTAGTGTCAATACATTTAAAATGTTTAAGAACAGTACTATGCAATATACTGAATTATGAAATGGAAACTGGGGTATCGACTGGAGGAGAAGCACCTAAATTAAAGGTTGAATCACAACCTCTTTCGAAGATTGTATCAAAATAATCATTGAAAAAATTCGCAATAGTTTGACAGTCGCTTTAATAGCCGATTTCATAGGTTGTAGTTTGGAGAATTTGGAATTGATAAAATTCCAAAATAATTTGGGAGACTTGTTAATTGCAATTTCAGAATTATGAGTGTAATTTTTTATAGCACCTCGATTCCATAGCTTTTTCTTCTGCACGCAGACGACTAAAGGTTAGGTAATCCAACTGGTTACCATATACTTTCCACCTGGCATGAACTTTTATTTTTTATTACTCAACGCAATTAAACTGCGTGTGTACCACGGCGGCTTCCCTGTGTTATGAATGATTTTACATTCAGGAACATATTTAAGTAACATAGTATTAAAAATCGAATAAAAATAAGAAACTGATTGCTCTGTGTTCATCAAATATTCCTGTCGGTATCATAGCATGATAAATAAATTTCAAAAATCTAATTTTTTTTCTAATTGTAAACTAAGATCTAAGCATTTATGGTAAGGATCGAGACGAGTAAGAGGCACAGTACACTCAGAAATTAAACAAGTTTTATTAGAAAAAACTACATCTAAAACTCGGTTATTAAAATTGTAACAAGATTTAAATTGCTTTAAATCCGTCAAGTTCATAGAGTGTGTTTCATAGTCGAAGCAAGTTTATCGGAATTTGTAATAATATTTAAATATTTTTGAACACGTACAGGCATCCACGTGGCAAGAAATATTAAAATCTCCTAAAATTAAGAAAATGTCATTCGGATTAGAAATTATTAGGTCGGAAGTGCTATCAGGAAACAATTGCAAAGAATTAAAATGATCATATTTATGGGGTAAATATATGCAAGCACCATGCAATATTGTAACAGAAGATGGAGATGACGGGGGCGGGTGCAGGTAGCGGGCGGCCTTATTAAAAGCTTTCTTCAAATTCTGCGTACTCGGAGATTTGCCCAAGCTTGGTACGCGGACTGTTTATGTGCTTTAGCACAAGTACAATCAGCGTTAAACCATGGACGAGGTTGAGGTCCATTGGGTAGAACAGAGTATGGTATGTAATACTCCATACCCAAACGCAAGACCTCGACTACAGCATCAACACAGCTCGACGAGTCTCCTGAAGTAAAGCACGCCTGCCAGGGACACGACGCAAAGAAGAGTAGAGTTATAGCTCGGAGTGGCACTGCAACTGTTTTGAGTAGGTGTATCGCTTGCCACTTGGCGGACGACTTGTTTGTTCCGTCACTTGATATCATAAAAATCTTAAATCAACAATATTTGTAAGAAAACAGAAAAGGGACGAATAAGACCTGGGTGCTTGGTGGCAAAACTAGTTATAATGGCAGTAGGTACTTCGCCTGGATAAACTATTTCACAAGGAGCTCTACCCTGCTACAAGAAAGCTACGCCTTTTTTTGTTTTCGTGGGAATATGCTTTATATATATACCTTCGAGTCCACGGAGCCTCAGTTGAAATTTTATTATGTTGGCTAACAAATAAAAACTAAATACTGAACACACTGAGATAATAAAATAACTTAAAGATAACTTACGTCTTCTAGGGGCATCATCAAAAGTGAAAGTAACTCCCAAATCCGCAGCATTTTCAATGTCAGTTGGAATTTTTATCTTCCCAATGCTAAACCTATGGAAAATACCTAAATCCACCCTAGATTGATTGATGTAGATTCCATCAGGTTTAGTGATTAGTTCAACTGTAGAGCAATTGTTTTTATTTAACCCATTGCTCGAGTAGTGGTACACCTGGTACCATTTTCCGTAGAACTGAAAATAATTACAACGTCGTCAGTAATTGTACAAATTAAAATAATATAAATGTTAAAGTACAGTACTATATGCTAGTCAATAGTCTGATGACTACAACTGTAATCATTCTAAATGAGGATTATAATTATGCTAGAGGTTACAGCCGAGGTTACATATATTTGTACATTAGTTTTGATTATAATGACCCACCCTGCCGACCCTTAGGGTATACGAGAAGGTTATAGTGCTATAACCTGTGCGCGCACAGGAACCTTCTAAGTTCAGGTTCTGACCCCAGATCAGCCAGTGTACAGGATTGTCACAAACCTCTGACACTTGACTTCATCCGGTTCTTCGAGAGGCTAGTGTCTCGGGTGAGCCGCCTTGGGTGTACGTACAGTACACTCCCTATTTTCGAGATAGGTACCGGAGCTGTAGGCATGCTCACTTCCCGTTGCGCATTGCACAACTAGCGGTTGTCACCGCTAATGCGTCGACTCTAAGTCCACTACCAAATCTCATTGGTGGCGGAGATGTAAGCCACGCTCAATTCCCGACGCCGAAAAACGACGTCTCTCCAGTTCTCAATAACCTAAGCGGCTGGAGGGACCGGAGGGTATCTAGCTTATTCTCTACTAGCTCCCCGGGCCAGTACCGGAGATGCCAGTCACTAACTATGTCCTGCGACAATGTCCGGACATAGCTTCCAACTTAAAGGGCAACTCACGTGCCCCGCGCATCTCCTCGCTTCAGGCCCTCAGCTAGACCGCTACGAAGACGCGCTAACTGGTCACGAGACAGACTCCCCGGCCACACCCAACCGGGGCAGACAAACGTGTCCGTCTCAACTAACCACAGCTAACCACAAACCCCAGCGAGTCCATTCCCAAGTCTGGGTATACCAGAGACGCCCGCAAAGGCGTATCACTGGCGGAGGGCTTGACCTTGGGCTTGGGCTGGTCTTGTCGTTGAGCCCGTAGTCTCTCCCGAAAAACACTATATCTCGGGTCGATGGATAGGGACAAAGTTAGAGGTTACAATTTGAAAAAAAAAATTAACAAGTTAAAAAGTACGATTAAATAGGATTTACAACTCGCAATGTGATTTTTTAATGGTATTACCAAAGCCAACCGAAAATCCTCTTGGAGAGTGACATTTTCCGGACAGTTTCCTGGCAAAGTAAAATATCCTTGAACACTACAAATACCAAATAACAGAAACACAAAATGTAACATTTTTGTTCTTGAACAGAATGAGCGACTATCTTTCTTACTGTCCAAGTTAAATATGCTACAGAATTATAAGCATATTTGTTAAAAGCTAAAGGGTTATCACGGAACACAAACATAAGTGACAGATAGGTTGAGTCAAAACAAACAATATTTCTGAGAATGAAAGGAGGAAAAAATAATAAGCCAGTTCCCAGAAAGCTTGACCGCCAAAAGCTGAAACTAAACTTGAGGACTTTGCTAAGGGCGGTGCATTTATAAGCTGAAATAGCTAAGTACCACAATTAAGTTAATAAATATACAGCTAAATTCACTAAATACCAACTTTGACCTCAAATTACTATGCTATAATATATTTTGTCCTATCAAAATGGATAAAAACTTTGCTGCGGCTAACTGTGTTTTACTAAGATGCCATACAAACGAAATGCCTCCATACCACGAGTTTAGAAATTGGATTTTGAGTGGTAAAGAATACCTATATAACCCAGTCAAAGTGGGCAAAAGCATGATAAAAACCATTACGATGAAATCTTTTCGGAAAATAAGACAATGGACAATAAAAGTTAAAATATCTTTTAAGTAATTGTAACTGATATTGTAAAGCATAATATTTTCATTATTATAAACAATAACATGACAAATTCCGAGTAACTGACGGTGTCAAATACGATTAGCAATGAAAAAAGATCACACATCTCTTGAACTCTACAGCCGTAAAGACGTGTTCATATGTTCGATAAAAATAATTCATTAAAATACATCATGAAATGACATAAGTAAGTACGTAACAAACTAACCACAGACGTCAAAATGTATACTGGCGCCATCATAAAGAAGTCCTAAATTCTAAATGTTTTATCAGTTGTAGAGCTCAAAAAATCACATGTGAATCTACAGACCACAGTACGTTAATTTTTACAAGATTTCAATTTAACACTGTGAAATTTACTATGAGAAAGGTCCAAAGCGATTAGGTATTAACTAGACATTAATTTTACTGAAGTTCTTTTACAGTCCTGACCCGATATCTCTGGTCGATAAATCTAAATATACCTAAAGGAAGTTCGAATTATAGGAAACTGTACGCCACACGAGTTGAATTGCGACAATTTTCTATATAAAACGACTTTAGCTGGGGTCGGGGCATTGGATAATTATCGCGTGGGATGCTCTTGGATATCATTCGAAACTTTAGAGTCTCGCTGGATACTTGTTTTACACATAATTGCAACTATGCTCTTGTTTATTTTGGCTTGTGTTATTGCTAGTTCTTTCGCAGCTGAATTTACTTTGCCGGGGAAATGTCCGAATGTAACTTTACAGGACAATTTCGATTTTTCTAAAGTGAGTGTATATTTTTAATTCTTTTAAAAACCTTACCGTTTAAATTTAATTTTGTAATGGAATTGTATCTAGTATCGTATCGTACAAACGTATCTTCGGTGTCAAACCAAACCCTGCAAGTCCCTGCACTGTGTTTTACAATTTCGTTACAACAAGAATCTTCCGGCTGTTATCAAGACAAAACAAATTAATCAGTATTATTATACATTTATTTGCTAAGCATAATTGTAAAGTCTACACAGAATTTTTTAATATCTGATTACAAAGTAGGTTAAATGTATCTTGTTATGTCAGTAACCTGAAAAGTAACAAAAACAGCGAAAAATCATTTTTTCATTATTCCGTCTTTCGTCGCTATTATTAATATTACAGTGCATTAGTTTGACAAGGTAGGTACTACGATTGTAATAAACTCAATGATACGTTTGACGTATTTTAATTTGTTTTGCTAACAAATTCTTTTTTATTTGACTTCCAAACCATTTCTCTGTGGCATCACCTAATGCTTTACCTGTATATACTAAAATCTTATATATATGTTTTCAAACCAGAAAGGGATAATTTCACAATGATCTGCTAATATCATCATTTAGTTCTTCTTCATCATTTAGTTAAATAATGTTCAATGATAGTTTGCAGGCACTTGGTACACTACATCAGTTTTTGCTAGTGATGGTCGTATTACTTACGATTGCGCAGTCATGGTAATCAATGAAGACAATGTGGGCTACACCCTGAAGGAAAGTTACGTGGAGCTAGACGATAGTGGTGAAAGAATTGAGAAATCGTATTTCGCAAGAGTGGACCCTACTTTTGACGCTGAAGATAGCGCCAAATTTATTGTTAGCCACGAGGATGGTGGTAAGTCCTTACTAAAGATCCAATACCATAATTGATCATCCCAAAGATTCAGTGGTAAGCTTCTTAGAGGTTGGAAAAGTTTCTCGATTACCGTTAAGACCAATAAAGAAAACAAACTTTTCCAAATTGGTTCTTCTTGTGTGGATGCTGAGTTCCCATCGGTGTTAATTGTATTGCTCTGGTGCTCATAATATATGTATATCGTTCCCTAGTCAACTAATAATTTATTATTGTAACAAAGAACGATCAACACAATAAATTCCTTCGCTCTAACTTGACTCTAACCAGTGATTGTTGCCATGCCGGAGCCACCGCTCTTGCCAACAGAGCTACAGACTTTTTGCATTGGGTTTGAATGGCTTTTTTATCTGTAAAACAATAAAAAATTCGTAAGATCACGTGACTCAGCCTGTAGCTTAATTGGTATTAGTATAGCTGGCCCCGGCATGGCAACAGTCACTGGTTAAAGTTAAGTCAGATTGAAGGAATTTTTCTTTTTCGTTGTTCGATCTTTGTATTAATTATAATAACAAAACAGTGGAGTGTTTTCACAAAAAATATATGAATATCATGACAGTAAGGCATCATGATATTCAATCAATAAATATTTCAAATAATTTATCTACATCATTATCCATTAATCTTGTTAACGGTTAGTAACCGGCGTTCCAACATTGTTGGTTCGAGAGGCACCATGTCCGATCGGCCAAACTAGACCACACTTTATCCTGCATTTCTTCATTCTCTCTTTTATATTCTCTCAATTTTTTTTAATTTTTTTTTTATTTATCGGCTATCTTACAGAATAAAAAATTAAATAACAATGAAAAGCTACTTATAGGTCTTCACCGATAGACACACATTAAGATGACATTCATTATCATTAATTATAACCACATAACTAGTAACTATACTACTACACTATGCCTTAACAAATTCGCAACACTTAGGGCGCGTTCCCATTATGTGACGACAACAGATAGTCGTGCAGTTTAAAGTGTCGTGACTTGTATATTTAATTTAATTTGTTCACACATAGAACACGATTACTTTCTTGACGTTACGGCGACAGACTGTCGTGACAATGGGATCAGCTAGAATGATAGTCATGTGTCAGTAAATAAAACGTCACGATAAAAATGTGCCAACAGATAATCGCAGCTTCTAACGATACTGTCGTGCAAACGACAAAGCGGCTGCCGTGAACCGATAAATTGTCGTCATGATCTAGTGGAAACGACCAACGATAAATAAAACGTTACGACATAATGGAAACGCGCCCTTAGTAATTACCTACTCGCCAAAAAACAAACTACTAATACTGCCGTCCGCCTAAACACAGCTAAGTGACAAAATTTTTTTTTTTGAGATATCGTAAACAAAAACCATAACTCAGTTTTAGAATGTTGAAATTGTTTAATGATATTTCAGCTATGCATCGTTAGGGCAAGTTCCGATAAGTCGTATACATTAACTAATTTTAACTGTTTTTAAGAACAATATTAAGAGTTAAGATAATTTTGTAAGTAAGAACAGAATTAAGATAATTTTGTGCTCTATCGTTTCCTATTTAAAAAGGGTATTTGACAATTTGTTACCTAGCCGCGTTTTAGTTATTGGACGACCGAATACCGATGCAACACTAGTTTTAAAAAGATAAATATCAATCTACTTGGACAACAGATTAAAACTGTTACTCACACGCAAGAGACATTCATTTACATGCATTTAGTAAGTCTTCATAAATTTATACCATTTATATCTTCTAGTTCTTGTTTACGTCACCAATTTTTAAGTGTTTTGTTTATCGCTGATATCGCTGATATCCATCTCTTATTAGATATCCATACCAAAGGCCAGTTTGTCATTTATACATTTATCGTTTACATGGCACCAGACCAAAAGCATTCAATTATGACTTTTAGCAAGTTATCTGTATTTTTTACGATATGAATGACGTAGCCGTGGTGATCTATTCTAATGGTTTGATTTATTACCGCCTCTGAAGCAGAAGCCGTGAGTTTGAATCCGGGCTTGTTCTCTGAGTTCCTCTGAGTTCTTTTTTATAAAATATAAGTGAGCATTTGACTTCCATCTCACCTGATGGAAAGTGACGATAAGGTCGACGATGCACACCTAAATAATGCTTATTCGCTTTCGCTTTAAAAAGGCCCAAGTTATAACGTTCAGGGAAAACGTCTGCAGGCAGGGAATTCCACTCCACCGCTGTTCGCTACATAAATGAGGAAGTCTAATAAGAATCTTTGTAATATTTACAACATAGGGGTGGAACCCACTCCTCCACTATTCCCCCGGTGATGGATAAGGGAAGGCGGAATCAAATCGTGTAATTACATTGCACTCTCCGTGATATATCCTGTAAAATACCGATGAGCTTTACGGCAGAGTTCAAGGCTCTGCAGCTTCACCTCCATTAATTCTAAGTCACCTATAAGCCTCTTGGCACGGTTGTCAATTGAATCCAAAGTGGCCAGATGGTATATAGCAGAGCCATCCAAGGCTGGCAGTAGTACTCCATGAACGACCGGACTTGTACTTGGTATAGCTGAAGCAACTGTCCCTTATGCTGATTTTGATTAAAATCGCAATCGAACCGATCGGGTAGTCTCGAAATTAGATGGGTTTCCGAGCGAGAAGATGAACCTGATTCCTACTATATCTTTCTCATTTGTGTGTTAAATCAACTACTGTTCCGATTTGAAATGTCAAAAGTTTCCGTTCGGCCAGTTGTGAACCGCAATTATGCGCCTCGACTATAATAATAACTTCACTGATAGCCATTACAAATAGTATAGAAATAATATAGTAATTATTAGTTATTGATTGATTGCTGACCAGTCAGGCAACATCCAGACCCCACATAAGGATTTAACCTGTGTTAGCATACAGTACCGTTGCCGCCGCGGCGGGCAAGCATCAATCGAAATTTTATCAGCAAATGGCTTACAGGTAAACTAAAAGGAACTCTGTAGTCCCAAAACATTTATTTGGGACCCAGAAAGGAATAAAATATGAGAAAGATGTTCAAAGTGTTAGTACAGTTTATAGAAGACTTAAACTATGTTAGATAAATAAGTCTCAGTGTGTATCAAGAAAGTGTAGAGTGTGTGACTCGGAGGAGACACAGCTTCCGATCGGGAGAGGCAATCAAAATCAAGCTGCCGGTGTAAAGTAACGTCTTGCCCTGGAAAGGATGCCAAGCTTTATCCCTGCATTTTACTATATGAGGTTTTCGGAACTTATGTGCGAAATGTAATTTGAAATTTACCATGAGCTTTTCGGTGAACGAAAACATCGTGACTAAACCTGCACGTCGAAGAAGGTTCACAACATTCGGAAAACGTGTGAAGACCCCAACCTGCATTACGGCCTGAAAGGAGAATCGTGCCCAGCAGTGGGACATATAAATAGAAAAGCAGGGTTGATGATGATTATAAATGTAATTGGATGCTGATAGGATAAAATTTACGATGATTAGTTTAACATTAATGGTTGGTTCAACAAGTGTCCATTGTCGTTCAGCGAGGCAATGCTGCCTGTATAATGGGCACTTTTGAGCCTGACACGATACGGGGCGGGATTTTGTTTAGGTTAGATTAGTTTTTTAAGTTAAAAATCTCTTGCAAATCCCAGTTTTTTTATTATTTTAGTACCTATTGACGAAGCCCAGTGCTGATCACTTTAACTAGAAATATCAATGTAACATTTGTATAAAGATGGTATAAATTATTAATTGACTATTTTAAATTTTTATTGAATTGATATTCAATTATTTTTTGTGATATTACTCCACTAGTTTGTTATAATTATTAATACAAAGATCGAACACTCAGACAAAATTCCTTCGATCCGGTGGAATTCGAACCGACGTCTTCTAGCATGTGCCAAACGCTATACCAACTAAGCAATTAATTGAGTAATTTATTATTCATCTAAAACTATTAATCTAAAAAAAATTAATTGACTAATTTAATAAAACACGTCATACCATTTAACATTAAGTTTGTGACATTTCCTAAATAAACTCCGTTTTTATATTTCAGATAAAGTACTGCAGTTCCCGTTCGCCATTTTATCTACTGATTATGATACTTATGCTGTTGCTTACACCTGCCAATCTCACAAAAAAAGAATTAAGATGCATTACGGTAAGGTTCATTGTATGTTGCAACGTTGAAATATCAGTTATTCGAATTTTACAGAAGTTGTCTATTGCATTGTTCACCTATAATCATTGACTTACAATTATATGGACGTCGGGTCCGCGCTAAAAAGTGTCCGCACTTGTAAGGCGCTAAAATCGTATACAGAGCGCGACACTCCGCTTTAGTCTTCATTTGTTCTACGGACAGCGCGATACTGCGATGACATAACAATTTAAATTTCGAATAGGTTGACTTGGGACATTTTTTTCGTGGTTTTTGTATTAGACCCGTCGTCCATGTATTTGTAAGTCAATGCCTATAATGTATTATTTGACATAACATTTTTGTCACTCATCAGTATCATTACTAAATTATACCTTACCTGTGCAGTAATAAGCTACATATTCGGTTAACGTTATGCAATATCAGTCTGCATTTAGAATTATTGGATGAACGACGAAATTTGAATGAAATAATTAATTTCCGTAAAACTCGAATAACTTCCCTACTATACAGGGTATAATCATTAAGTGATATTTTTAAAAAGTTATTGATGTCGATTTACTCATTAGGTAACGTACGTACTTTCGATATCAGTTTTAAAGCTTTTTGATATCTCTTATATTTATGGAATAATCGCCTGGACACCCTTACCATTACACCCTGCATGTTGCACCTCCGGTGAAACAGTGACTTAATATATGATTCCACTGTTGTGCATAAACCTCCTTTCAGTATAGGAGGGCTTGGGCTTTAGTTCCTTCGCGAGCCCTGTGCGGATTAGCAACTTCACACACATCTTTAAAATTGCTTTACAGATGTGTGCAGGTTTTCTTGCGATGTTTTCTTTAATGAGTTCGATATTACCTAAGCTCGAATTAAAAATTTTCTAGTAGTAATACGGTTCATTTTGCTCAGAACCGATTCATTGAAAAACAAATACAAATATCAACAAGTCCATTTCCCGCGCCACAGGCGCTTTTTTATCCAGCTCGCTCCCCACTTGAAACGTTGGCGCGAGAACGCTGTCGTACATAGTACCAAATGTGATCACTGATGGTACCTCTTGTCAGCTAAAATATGGTTGGCCAACATTTGACACCAGGTATTTGCTGTCATAGTTGTTGTCACACATTATACGAACCAGTTATCACTATATTATAATTGTTATAACTGATAATTTATTTAGTTATACTATAACACTATGTTCACGAATTATCTGGTGAAATTTCAGACCCCTCCTATATGTACATACAAATGCAATTAATACGTATTAACTGTTTCATATCGACAAGATCTTTATCTATAAATTGTAATCCAAGCATATTAAACCAATCTTATAACACTTATTGATGAGTACATATAAATTGCATGGTCTAAAACCGAATAATCCTGCATCATAAATTTTTGTTTTGTTTGCACTGATATATACAAACATTCATGTTATATCAAGATAGTGGATCAGACCACTTTCTTTTATAATGAACATTGAAGTAATATTGTATACATATCGAGTTCTTAGGCGATTAAAACCATTTTTCGAATCTGTCAGCTCAGAGCGGACCGTCATGATCATGGGACCAGTAAAGGGCCTGAAACGTTGAATTTGTTTCATAAATCATATTTATGCGATCTGAAAAAAAAATTTTTTTAATACAGTTGCTGAAAACGTGGTATTTTTCGTACTACAAATCGTGCCGAAATTTGGATTTTTCGCACTAGCGCTTTTTACTTTCTCATTCTTTTTTTAAATTTACTGTTGTTTCAACTCTTAAACATAGAACGAAAGAGGTTGTATATTTATTTAATATTTATGTGCTTTGTGACGTAAGTCATTCGTCATTAAAACTTATATTTAGTTACAAACATCTTATTTGTGTAAATTGCATAGGTGTTTTATAAAACAATGGGTTACATTTAAAAATACTAAAATATTTTCCATAAAGATGGCTGATTGAGTATTAACATTGACCGGGGAGGTGAGTATTACGCGAGACCGCTACGCGCCGCGCCACCAAAATAGTGATTTTAATGTGGCTGAATACTGGTTGCCATTGTACTCTGAATTTTTATCAGACAAAGAAATAAAAAAAGTTATTTTTTTAAATACTGTTTTATTTTACTTTCAACATAGTTTTTTCGCAAATGTATTAAAAAACGTCGTTTCTTAAAGTCTTAACGTTCGTTTAATGAAAAACGTTTCAATTCAACTGTGTTTCTTTTGTGTGTATCTGACGCGATAATTTGTGAACCGATTTTCGATAATTCTTTTTTGTTGGAAAGAGGGTACCTCTATAGTGGTCTCATCAAAATTTGAAGAAAATATTCCACCTCTAATTGTGGGGACGAATGACTTTTGAGGTCGACTTTTTTAGTACTCTGGGGGTCGTATTCCAAAACTCTACTCAATACTCAAGTCAGGACTTGAGTATTGCAGTGAGCACTGAAAATCATACTCAAGTCCTTGCCATTAGGATCGTATTTCCAGTGCTTGAAATCATACTCAAGTCTGCTCAAATCGAATTGTGAAAGGTTCGTCCAAAGAAGTACCTCCTTACCTATGTCTGCCGCCAGTAATGTGAACATTGCTGCGTTTTGGTTTTAGGGGTAAATTTGCTGGTGAAACAGGTACATGAGACTTTACAACTTATGTCTCAAGATGACGGGTGCAGTGGCAGTGCCCCTCAGATCTTTTCGATTTAAAGCTCTAAGCGGCATGGCAACTGTTATGGACAGGCGTGTTGCTTACCACCAAGCCTACGACACGCTCGTCCCGTCACTTGGTACCATAAAAAAATATACTTGAAACTAAGATTCAGCATTAAAAAATATTCTTATTTTTTTTATTTTGTTTCTAATGTGTTATTTTTTCTTTTCTAATTCAGTATACGCTTGGATCCTGTCTCGCCAGAAGGAAAAACTAAAAGAAAATGCTCAAAATATAGTCGAAGAAATTATTTCTCAACATACCGATTTGGCTGCTAACCGTGAATTCTTTGTTAATAAAGATTTTGGTACAGGCTGTACGTCTACTCAAAAATCTCCTCAAGAAACTTTTACTAACAATTTCTGGTGATTGTAATATTCCTATAAAATTTATATAGTCATTTTATTTATTTGGTGTTTTTCTTTATTTACCTTTTTCTTGACCACCTCTTCATTCGAATATACTTTTTGTGTTAATGTTGAATATATTGTGTACGGATAGAATTACAAACGACAAGGTATCGCAAATAATGCCAAAAGCTTCTGAAAACCGTAAAAAGGAAGAAATTGCAGTAATTCGAGTACATCATGCGGAGTGAATAATACTCTCTACTGCAATTAATTCTGCAAGGAAAAATCCTGGGCCGCAGAAGACGTGACCGTAGAAAAATCACATGACTCCAAAATGTTGCAGAGTTGCTCTACATGCGTACCACAGAATTGTTCCGAGACGCAACTTCGCAGACACAAGTGGCTCGTATAATGACAAGCCGACCTCCGAGGAGATGGCAGCAGCAGTAGAGCTCCTTTTGAAAGAGTTCGTCCAGGGAAGTGGAAGGAAGATGGTAACCTATATCATATATGGTAATGTTAGCATTACTGCGTTCTGGTTTAGAAGGATAAGGGTGCTGGTGAAATAACAGGCAAATGGGACTTGTCAACTTGTGTCTCAAGGTGACGGGCGCAGTCGCAGTGCCCCTCAGATCTATGCGATTTACAGCTCTGAGTGGCACTACAACTGTTATGAACAGGCGTTTAGCTTACCATAACATCTAAGTACCCCACACACACACACACATACACACACACACATACACTAACTCTCTTCACCCACACATACACACAAACACAGACACAGACACACACATCTATTTCATAAATTCTAGTCTGTATTTCAAAATATTGTTATTAAGTCCAGCTCCATTTTATTTTATTTTTATTTTTTATGTTATTCTTTTTCCGTAACTATATAATTTATTTAAAAAGAAAATACATTGTACTGTTCTGGGTCGGAGGCCTGGTGTCCCAAGACACAGGGTCTACCTAGTTTGGGCACCAGTCTCCCGCTATCTGCTTACCAAGAATGTTTTTAATTTGTATATGAATGGGAGAGAATAAATGATTATTATTATTATTATTATTATTATTATAGGGCGTATGACTTGTCCGTACCGTCACTTGATATTATAAAAAATAAAAAATGGCACCCCTAGAAAAAGCAGCGTACGTTAGGCGACTACTCTATTCTTTTTTGTTGTAAACGGGGTACAGCAGTGGTTTCATTCAAATTTGAACAAAATATTCTATTCCTAAGGGTAACAAATTAGGAGATGAATCCGGTTTATTAGACTTAACCCACTTTCCGTTAACTGATTTTAATAAAATTTGGCAAATAAATGTATTGCTGCTGCCATCTTCTCAGAGGTCGGCTATCTTTATACGAGTCACTTGTGTCCGCGAAGTTACGGCTCGGAATAGTTCTGTGGTACGCATGTAAACCAACGCTGCAAGGTTTTGGAGCCACGTGGTTTTTCTACTGCCACGTCCTCTGCGGCCCTGGATTTTCCCTTGCAGTTTAGTTGCAGTAGAAAAATATTTTCAACGATGTGCTCGAATTACAGCTTCCTCGTGTTTACGGTTTTCAGAAGCTCTAAGCCTTTGGGCAGCCTTTGCAATAACTTATCGTTTGTTATTGTATACGTCCACAATATATTCCACAAACTTTTAGGACCTTTTTTTCAATAGTTAGAATTATTTTACCTTAGTTGTTACAACACGAATAATAAATATTACTAGAAATGATTGATTAAGTCGTGAATAAATAGGTGCGGATTCGAAATATATTTTATTACAACACATTTTTTTTACTACAACACATGCTGAAAAATAGATTAGGGCAATCTATTTTTCTACATAATTTGTCCGAGTCTCAAACATGATTAATTATTATCACATTCTTCCGTGTTCGATAAACTACCTACAAACAGTATATATAACATTCCTCGAAACAATAACTGATCCATTTTCATTCTAGAAAACTTACCTACGATAAAAGCTTCCATGAATTGATAAATAATATGGGACAAATATGAAATGGAGTCGTCTTAAATGAAAATAAAAGTAAAGAACTTCATTAACTACTTCATGATCGTCTTTAATTGTCAACTTTGCTTCCAGTTATACAAATCAGTTATATTATAATAAACAATCTTTGGTTTACAAGAATACCCTGGCTAAGTAATACATTTCATCCACATTGTACATGAGCAGTAAAACTCATAGGTCATGAATGCGTTCCCTGAGGAACAGCCTTTTCCAAAGTATAACTAGAAACATATTGAGGATATCCTATACGATTGTACTTTTGCTTCCTTAAGACTTTGCGGGATAAGGGTTCTCGGTGATAACACTGGTGCTGGTGAACTTGCAAGCCTCTTCAGAGAAATCAGTGTAAACTAATTTAGAGGTATCGAATTCCTTAGCGTTGTTCTTAAAGAAGTTGTTGACAGCTGTCTCGGCCTCACCCTGCAGTGTCTTAGTCCTTGACAGGATCCATGCGTTCTCTGTAATCACAACATTATAAAATAATTGAAAACATTTTTGAAACGGTTGAAAGAAATAGTTTAATTTACTATAGATGTCCTTTAATTTGCAACAGTGACAGCAAACAATTTTGAATTAGAAAGATGTTCTGACCTTCATGAGACTTCTTCTTATCATCATTCTTGCAGTTGTAGGCAATGGCATAGTTGCTGTAATCGGTGAGCACCACAGTCAGAGGACTGTCCCTGACTAAATCTGAAAAAAGTGATAGAAATATTGTTAAGTAGGTATTGAGAAAGCCAGTCAGTCTGTTTTCAAAGAACATTACTAAGTATCACTTTACTCGCCGTTAAAAAGAAGTTTAAATATTTTTTATGTTAACATTATTGCCGAGACTCATGAGGAATTATAAAAACGAAACTGTTAATTTTAAAGTATTAGCTGTAATTAATTAAGAATCTCATGATAAAATATATCATATCTTTCTTCCATTTGTATAAATTAAGATAACTCAAATGACTAGAAACCACGATCTCTGTTGTGCTACAAATATCAATATCAAAGCGCAGCGAGTGAAGGTTTCTTAAGGCGCCAAATTAGACGCTTGTAGAAACGCTACTAATTTCCATACAATATCTTGTCTGCAATAAAAGAGAATGCGTGTCGCGGTTGTGCTGCGCAGCAGCTGCGCTTTTAAATATTATATAAAGATTAGTAGTAGCGCCACTGACGCGCAACTGCAGCGCTTTTATAAGCATGTAATTTCAAAGCGCCTTTAGGTTCCACGCAAATTGATCAATCTATGAACGGAATTACTTGGCTGTTCCTCAACCGATATTTTTAAATTTGAAACTAACATAAAAAATGGTGCAGGTCATGTCGAAGCCTCATTTTGAATTTTGATTAGTAATCTAAAATACTTGAGGTCAAAGGTCACCATGTAAAGTCTATATAGTAAAAAAAGGTTGTGCTTCGATAGAGAATAAAACAGAAAATAGCAATAGCGCGAAATAGGCCTGGGTAGTTTCGTTTACAACGTCCAATGTCACCATGGTCACGGAAGCCGTTGTGCGTCGGGCCTGATGGCCCACTGCGTCCGTGATTACTGTTCGGGGACGTCATACGCGAGTGCCGTGAATGGTGAAGCTGAGTATCTCAATTACGCCTTACCACTGAGCGAATTATTTTGTGTGTAAAATTCAAATATATACCAGTGTAAAACCGTATACTGTTTTATTTTTCATGATTCCTGTGGGTCCTAAACCCAGTAGCGGTGCAGCAGTCTCGGTGGCATACTTTCTTACTTGAAAGTTGGAGTATAAAGCAAATTATTTAACTCTGTTATGCAACCTATTCAACACAGCTATAAAAATATTGTCTTTTTAAGTTCTTGTAATCCAATATTCCTATCTTTTCCGTAGATTATGTGATAACTATTTTTGTTATATAAGATACAACTACTAGAATTATAATAAAGAAAACATGTTATTTTAAAGTTTATCAAATTTTATCATGGTCAGGAATTTACGTGACAATTCTAAATTAATAATATTTTTTATTACATCGGTGACCTAGTGGTGTGGGCGCTAGATGCGGAGTTTGAAAAATGAATTATCTAAATTGGTTTTGATGTTCTAGATGGCTGTGGTACTCATATCATAGGGAATTGCCGAGTTTGAAACCAGCTCATTGGTGTGATGTTCTAGCACATTATTGTTATTGAAAAAAACCTAATTCATGTATTGAACATGGCAACAAAAAATCCAATTCTAATACTACTGCTAGTATACTCAACAAAAAATTCCAATTTTAATACTACTACATACTAGTTACCGAGGACTATGGACTATGCCTTCGATGATATTTTTACTAGGTTAATAAGAGTTTTGATATTACAGAACTATTTAGATAATTAATTTATTAATCAATAGGTAATCAATGTACGTATTGCGATTTAGAAACAAAGGCAAGCATATGAAACTGAAATAACCGGAATAGTGACTGTATCTGAAGGAACCATCCAAACCAGAACTAATTTAGAGACAATCGTGACCTAAATTGGTATTAGGAAATTCGGCCCAGAACTCGTTAAGTAGTATTAAGATTATTTATCACTAGACCACCTGGCATAGTTTTAATGATAATACCTGCAGTTATATCATTAAATTTTAATACTTAGTGATAAACAGTCTCACCATCTCATGGAAAATATGCCAATCGCCGCACTTAGATGTTTGCGATAGCGAACAATAGCACATGACAAATGCATTACTAGCAATAGTACAAAATATTGTCTAATGCCTGAATATGCGCCAAACCTCCCCACCATTAAATTCAGAACATGTGCTGCGATGGAAATAGATAGGACGGTAGTTTAAGTAAAAGAGTGCTTTTAAATCTGTATATAAGTCTCTTTACCGTATCATTTGAAACCTTACCTGAAAAATTACTACACAATTACTTATTTGAAAAATTACCTAGATATTTGAAATATAAGTTTCAATATTTGGTGTATCCCATAATCGCAATCTTCGCTCAGAAAGCACATTAACTCTTATCACTCCTTCCCACCGTAATGGTTTTGTCTAACTCTTTCTAAAACTTCTTTGTAAAACTCATTTAATCTTTAGGCAATTTGGAACGTTCTGCCACGCCATATATATTAACCAATTAGTCCGCCATTTCATGTTAGAGTCTCCATCTGCATAATGTATTATATAATATATATACATTATGTAAATTGCTTATGCATAGATATAGTCAGTGACTCGTATTATGTCATATATTTATGTGAGTAAATTATGTCTCATAATTATTTACAAACTTTGATCCTATTTATTTTTTAGTCTTAGTTTGTCATGCCCCACCATTTGTACTGTTTTGTGTGCAAAAAGTTTAAATAAATAAAATCCAATAAACTTGCCTTAAAATTGAGGTTCATATTTAAAGAGCACCTCTGCTGAGGCCGGGGGACTAGCTGGCTCATACTGCGTGAAGTACTGAGAAGGCGAATCTATTTCCCTCACTCTTTGCAGAGAGTTCGCGTCTGGATACTGCAGGGAACCTACCACCTACTTTACCTTAGGCTTGCTGTACTATGGCGCTAGTTCGCATACGTCAAAAAGAGGTACTTAGAACTCTGCGGAATCTAGACGTGAATAAAGCTAGCGGGCCGGAATTCCAGTAATAGTCCTGCGTAACTGTGCGCATGAGTTGTCTCATATTCTCACATGCCTGTACAGCCTCTCACTTGAGACTGGTGTAGTTCCCAGGTCGTGGAAGCTTGCAAACGTGCAAACCTGTGCGGAAAAAGCGAAGCAGAGCTGACCCTGTCAATTATAGGTCTATTTCAGTCACTTCCATAATCTGCAAGACTATGGAACGTGTACTCAACGACCGTCTCCTGTCATACCTTGAAGACAACGACCTTCTCAGTGATCGCCAGTACGGATTCCGACGAAGACGATCTGCTGGGGATCTTCTTGTGTATGCCTGTCACATATGGGGCGAGGCTATAGAAAAGCAAGGCGAAGCACTTGCAGTGTCTTTGGACATTTCTAAAGCTTTTGACAGGCTCTGGCACGCAAGCCTGTTAAGTAAGCTTCCCTCTTAGGGGTTCCCACTGGCCTTTG